ACGCTGCGGTGCACCAGTCATCCATGCTTTTGTAGAAGTCATCAGTGATCTTTAGCAGTGCTATGTAACTTCCGGTACGCCGACTGCAACGGGTTGAATCTACCCGTGGCGGTGGCATGGCTAAATAAGCACTTCGGACAAACACGCTCAATGACCTTTGAAATCGTACTCACGATTTGAGATTGGGCGATAGTTTGCGGGGTCACGAAGGCTCCAGCCAATTGTTTTCAGGAGTGGAGTAACCTTGCACCATTTTGAACAAGTCTAGGGAACAGCCCTCGCTTAATGAAAAAATTGACAGGTGGACAATCAGCGGCACAAGCACATTTGAGCATGATTTGAGAATCGACGTGTGGATGTAGTCGAGAAAGCGACGTCTTATTTGGCGGCCGTGCCATGAACATCGCCACCTCTGCCACTGGTGCCAGGGCCTCGAATTCTGCATTGCTTCCTGGTTGATGAAACTCAGATGGCAGACTGGGAGAATGCGTTGCCTTAAAGTTATAAAGTGCCGTCTTGTTCGTCACTATTTTATTGGAAAAAAAAACGCTCGAAGCACTGTGCACAGAGCGGGTTGGTGAGTTGATGGGAGGTTGGAGTGCAGCAGACCCTTTAGGATGCGCCACAGAGAACGGGGATCGTGAGGCGACTCATTGACGCGCAAAGCATAGAACGATCTGCCAGCCTTAATAATGTAAGCAAGTCCGACAGTTTCTTCCAAAGGCACTCCAGCTTCCTCCGGGTTTGCTTCGCTGCAATCGCCTCTGGTGACAGCCAGTTACTTTACGCTTTATCTGTTCGCTTTGTTTTTTTTCCCTGGGCACTGCCTCCTAAGATCAATGGAACACAAATTAATGAGTGCACAGTAGCGTTGTTATTCATAAAGGAGCGGCGAGCCGCTGTGTATCCATACATATGGTAAAGAGGCTAAATGTAACGAAATGGTTGTCAACCACGCAACATGAATACGTAACTCAATCACAGACTGAACTAACATCTAATTATTGGCAATTATGGCCACTGTCTGATCATAGCAGAAGGTCCAAATTGTGACACATTAACAGAAAGACAATCACGTTATCTGGGAAGCGGATTGTGGGTTTTATTTTATTTCGTATTTTACTTGGGATAGTTCTTACCTTTCGAACCGAGTATCCACAGTGTGCTTCTGCATTAACTAAGGTTATTCTCAATGTTATGTCTTGGTGATAAATATATCGTTATATAACATTATACAATTAAAGTACTAATGAAATTATTGTAATAAAATAATATACTGCTGTAATAGTGAATGTGACGTTGTTAAAGAGTTATAATTATTTAACAATTCCGGGGCGAGCCGTCACGTCATGCGCAAGTGAACGGCTCTCTCAAGGACTTCCACAAACTTTCCCACTTACCGAACACTATTACCCGTGCTAAACGTGTTTGTAGTTTCACCCGGCCTATTGATTCCCCCAAAGAGAACCTCTTGGGCAAATTTGGAACCAACCTCCCCGCCCCCTCCTCCCCGCCCCCTCCTCCCCACACACATCAATGTCGCTGATCCCAGGAATGACGACTCCCCACGCAAACTGAGACCCAGTCCGTCCCCTCGTGCCTCACGGCGGACAGACCACCACGTTAGAGGGTGAAAGCGACCTCCCCGCTCGCTCGCTCGCCTGGCCACACAAGGTCAGAGCTGACGAGGTCACCGAAGAGGCTTTCCAGCTCCTCCAGGAAATTCACCCTAAGATTGACCAATTCGGCATTAGAGCAAAAGAAAATGCCCCCCCCCCCTTTTTAATAGCAAGATGGACACCATCCATCAACGACCGCTTGGATAAGCAGGAGGCAACCACCATAAATCTCAAAAACGCGGCAGAAGTGCTGGGCGACTCAGGCCGAAAGCACGAAGAAAATATGAAAGAAGCAGAAAACAAACGCGAGGCTAAAATAAGAGAGAAAAAAAACCCAGCTGAGGCTCCAGACTCCCCTTCCATCTGACCGGACTCAAAAGTGCAAGCATACAGAATAGGCAGGAAGGAGGACCGTGCAACCAAGGAGACCAACAAGAAGCCGAGACGTTGTCTGATGTTGATCCATTTCTGTACCAGACAAGAGGACAATAACGCGTTGAAGCTGGCGAGACTATCCCAAGGGAACGGGTACCCTCATCCAGGGCAACTGAATCTTTATATCACAGCATCTCACGCTGTCCGGCTCCAAAAGAAGAAACCTGCTCCTGCCTCCACAATAGGAGCTAGTGAACAAGGGGTCCGGTCTCAATGCAATACCCCGGTGAGGGGTCCACACCGGAGGAAGACGGTGGGACTTTGTGACCCCAGAAGCATGGAATGCAAAGTCGTTCAAGAGGCACTTCAGGGCCCTTCCCCTAAAACCAACCGCGCTGGTGACCGACCCACATGTTGACACGACGGAGAGGAGAACCAGCCTGTCGGAGAGCCTGTGGCAAGGTTAATCATTACTTATAGGGGTGGAAGATGGCACTGACTATTCACAGCCCCTCCCTGTTAAGTGCAAAAACCTCATCGCATGTCATCAAAACGGTGACCGAACGTCAATCATCGACCTTCCTGTAAGAGGAGCAACTGTTGAGGCCATCAAAAACGTCCTTCTCAGGGTCAACCCTTCCATAAAATTGCCCCAGGTGTCTGCAAATCACCAACTCTCAGACAAAGCAACTGAATGGCTAAATCAATTAGAAATTAACATTTATTATTCATTGGCCATAGGGAATAATCCACATAGTTGCTCATGTTTTTTTCATAAGCAGAGTATACGATTTACATTATATTTATCCCCCCCCCCCCAATTGTATCTTGTGCTATCGGTGTCATGCCACCAAAGTATGCGTTTGGACCTCTTGCAGAGCAAAACTTCACCCGTTGTTAAAGATTGAGCCACAGAAGTGGATATCACGAACTACCTCTGATATGGCTGGTCCACAAATGTTAACAGAAGCTACGGTGGTGATATATTAACTACCTCGCCTGGTATACAGGTCGTGGCTTCGATCCCGACCCCTGCCCGTAAATTTAGACTTTGCGTGTCTCTCCCTGGTGTCATTTTTCTGCGAGTCCTCCGTTTTTTTTCCCTTTACATTTAGAAATATGCTTTTAAAGTATTTGGTTGCTATAAATTTCCACATAAGCCACTTCGTTGAGCTTTCATTTGTGGCTTGGTCGCCTCTGAAAAAGAGCTATACAGGTCATCGAACACCTGACTTACAAACACTCGCACTTACGAACCAGCTTCCATGAAATATATTTTTTTATTGACTTAAAACGCAAACTCACACTTGCAAACTGAACCGCTGAACTTTTGTTAAGATATCCTTGAAGTGTAATGAGTATTTGTGTGAAAGTGTGAGTAGTAGTAGTGTGTCGGTTAGCGCGCTCACGACCAACAGACGATTATCTGAATGGGTCCTGCGCTTCCCCTAGGTTGACTCGGTCTCAAATGAGTACCTGGTGGGGTGTGTAAATATCGCCACTGGGGGGACAAAGGCAGCCGGGCGTGGTGCTGGCCACTCATCCCCTCGTGTTCCCTGCCGGCCTTCATAGGCGCTGCTCGCTAACAACACTTGCCCCATAAGTCTGTGAATGCTGCAAGGTGGATCGTTGTTAGTGTCTGTGTGCCCTGTGTGCCTTGTCTTTGCGTCCGTGTCTTTGCGTCCGTCCGCACGTGTCCCGTGTGTGCAATTGTGGTTACTTATTGCGCCCCTTCTGACAAGCCAGCATCAGGTAAGCGAAAGTAAAAAAAAAATCTCTTTACTTTTTGTTTTACTATATTTTTAGTGTCACATGCAAATGTACAATATTTCTTAATATTTGCGTTTCCCTGTTTTGTTGAACTAACACATTTCATAACACTGTATGGGCATTTAAATACGGTACATTACTGTTCCAACTTACAAACGGGTCTCAGGAACTAATTGTTTTCGTAAATCGACTGCCCTATTGCTCGGTGGGCCTTACCTGGTAAAATAAAATAAATAGGTACAGCACTTTCCCTGCTACAGAAATTATCCTCGTATGGAAGTCAAAGTTATATTTTTAATTCTCAGAGCTCCACCTGACCAAAATTAAGTGCCAACCCGTTTTAATGTGTTTTTAAGGAATGGTGATTGGGCTGAGACGATCAGTTAATTACATTTGAGTACCCAGTTTAGTTATGGAAGTTTCTGGGATTTAAACCCTGGGTATTAGCAGTGACATCTCAGCAGTTCTACCCATAACAGATGCCGCAAACTCACCGTCTAGATGTGGGTGTAATTAGGAATCAATTGGATGCCTTTGGATGGGACAGAAGGCTCGTCTCTACCAAATATACTGTGCGTCCTCATCCATTACCCACATTGCATTTGGGTATGTGATCTAATGGGTGCTCGTGGGTGACTGCAACACGTTTGGATGAGTTTTTTTTTTAGAACTCTAATTAGCTTTGACCACGTAAGTAGTGAATATTTTCCTGCATGATTGGATCAATTTACATTTTATTGAACAATATCCCACACGTGAGTTTCACGTCTGTGAGGCTGCCGTGAGTGTCTATCCTTTATATCGCACAGTCGTAGCCATTTATACGTGAAGAAATATAAACTACTGCAACAGACTTGACTGACGTTTTAATGCAAAACCAAGATTAAGTAATCTATTTTTCATTTCACATTCATGAAACCTGCCTCATTGGAATAGTTTGAACTTTTGCTCTTTGACTATTCACTATTATCTCGTGATAAAATGGCTATTGGCAGATATTGTTTTAGGATGGTGTACGTGCTTCACGAGGACATGTCGATAAAGTCAATTTTAAAACAGATATTTCGTTCTTAAAACGATGTCAAGGAATATATTTAATGTGTGTTGTAACATATGTAAACACTTTAATAGAGTACAAAATGTAACGTCTACGTAATTAAGCCACCTTGCAACTATGCCATTCATGAGTGCTGCAATTACCAGAACATACTGTGCAAAGTACATGTAAAAGTAGGATTATTTTTCGTTCCAAAATGTACTTTATTTGAACACCCATGTTCACTTGTTACACAGCAAAGAGTCTGTGACAAAGAGCACAGAGGCACTTAACAGAGGATATTTCACGAGTGATCAGTTATTTAACAGAATACGTACATTGCTGATAACTACATCTACATACAGTGCATGACACATTAGTGGCAAGTTTTTAGTTGTTTAATGATTTGGAATAATCCAAAAATCAACTCGTGGTTGATTAACCACTTGCACTGCTCAAGATCAACGTCAGAAACGCCCATGATTGGACACTAGGATTTGCATGACCTTACACATGTACCCACACAGCTTCAACGACTTGAGTGGGAGTTCAATGACAGAACGTGTATTACCTGGCCAGCAGGGAATTACTCTGTTACAGTACTTTATGTATGGAAAGTGCTGATGCCCCTTCTGCCACAAGTCTAAACAGCATCAACAGTCAATAGGGATACTCTCTGGATCTTTCGGTAAAAAGTCACGTAGATAAGAAAAAAATAGGCTTCGGTCACAACACAAGCGTCCGTCTTCAGGTGTGGAAAAATGATCTGCTGTTGTGGCTTTATATAGGCACGGGAGGTAAGGGGGGGAAGGAGTTTGGCTGTGGGAGTTCGCAGGGGAGAGGGGGGGGAGGGTTTGTGGGGACGCTTGTGTTGCGACCCGAAACGTCGTGTTTTCTTTTATTGTATTATTTTTTCTATCTACGTGACTTTACCGAAAGAACCAGAGAGTATGGATTCCTGCAGTCACGAAAGCTTCAAATCAAGTCAATAGGCATCATGAGGAAAACCATGCAGTCACTAGAAAAGGGGAGTTACATTATCATACATGTTTACTGTACAATATTATGAAATCTGTTAGACTTTAATGTAATATAAACACTAATTTAAGTTTAGCTTTAACTAAATACAGTTTTCATATGTAAACAATTTTAGGTCTGTTGAAAATATTGGACAAGCTTTTTAAAAAAATTTTTATTAAGATAGTGATGTGTGCAAAAACATGTTTTCATTTGGTATTTTTCTTTTTGCCTGAGAGTTTTGAGTCTCCAATGTAGATTAATTTAAATAAATGTTGATCGGCTGAAGATATGAGATGAAGTGTCCTTGAACTTTAAAAAAGGAGTCACACGGAGAAAAGTCCAAAAAGCACAGAGGCAATTGCACAGCACCATCAATGAGTAAAAACTAATTATATCCTAAAACTCAGCAATGATTCGATACACTTTCCATTGGTGTGATGTTTATGCATAATCCCTGATAACTGTTACTGCAAGGTTTTGCAGTTTCCATCAAACTAAGTTGGCAACTATAGCTAAGTGACACTGTATTAGAAGTCAACATTACCCCCAAGTTCTGGAGAAATGTTGGTGATGCTCATCTTAACTATGGCTCCAAGCCATATGCGGGGAAACTGTTTCCATGTCAGGGCACATTATGTATGTTGAACTGCAACGTATGAGTTTCCCTCCAAATGGTAATAATTTGTAATGAGCTCAGATTGATAAGATATTGACCTGGCCAGATTTAAGTTCATGATACATGGAGAATTGCTGCTCCACCAAATGAGTTACTTCTCAGCAAGCAACATATGTATGGTCGTTATGTATTGGATAATTGGATTTAAGTTCCATGTGTAATTTTTAGTTACCCGTTGGAGCCAATGATCCCAACTCGCCATTTCTGGAAATGCATAGAATATAATTCAGTGTTACGTTTCAATGGAAGATGGTATACTGTTGGTGTACATTAACACGGCATCAGTGTACATTCCGTATAAAATATAATAGAATCCAACAAACCAGTAGCCGTGCAACAGCTCATATATTTGTACAGAAAGACCTACATTAACAGAGCTTCATATTCTTGGTTCTTTCGGTAAAGTCACATTTCCCTTCTGTGTTACTTTAGCGAAAGAACCAAGAATATGAATCCCTGCAGTCACGAAAGCTTTAAATCAAAATTAACAGAGCTGTTGTCATTAATGAATTGTAACTGAATGATCTCTGCATAGCCTTGAAATATTGGTTTAAAGAATATCCTCTGAAAATCTGTTTTGAGCTTTAAGATTTAAGAAAAATGGATAAGCTGTATTGCTTTGTATTATCCGTTTATATATTACTTACCCTATGCTAATTCACTGTGTATCCTTAAGAATGTTATGGTTTCATGTTGTGAAATTATAACTCGAAAGGAACGTGTAGAATTGCAAGACACTTCAGATTGATAGTTTCAAACTTTACCCAGAAAAATTACTTGGTATGTGAGAAAAATTAAGCAAAAATTATATAAATACTCAACAAAAATACTTAAAAAAGACAATAAAGTGGTTTGTCATATAAAGAATTTTTCATTTTTACAAAATATAAAACATGGGATGAAAAGGCGTTTATACATGTTTTGTACAAGACAATATGTCCAAGACCTCAGACATTATCAATGTACATACAAAACCACAAGCAATTACAGTATCCAATTACACAGAATGCAATGGTACTGAAGTGATTTTCAGTACCAGAACAGACCGCTGGCTCTTATGTCCCATCAACAATAATACATTAATTATTGCTGTTTTGTCCACATTACTATTTCATACTGTTTGTACAAAATCTTAATTTTAAATGGGAGATAATGGTGTGCAACACCAGTAATCGTTTTAATATAGAGATGCTGTCTGCAATTACCCTCAAAAGCAAAAAAAAACCCCAAACATTTCCATAAATCAACTCCACACTAATCTGTATTATGTAACAAAACATTTGATCTAGTGTTTGTACAAGTTATCCATTACTTCTAAAGCCCCTCAAGTAATTACTTTTCTGTGGATTTACATATCATGCTTCAACCATTCATATTTCTTTCATACATATTTCTTACAAACAAGTGCATCTTACGAGTGCAAACCAACAAGTCTATCACCGCTAGTTGTAATTGATTCCATAGAGTAACCAAAATTATTTGATTATTTTTTTAGGACTCAAAACATCTTACCACAGTGTTATATGATGGGAAGTGTATAGTACAGCATTTAAAAACAACATTTTAAGTTTTTACATATATCATTAATATTTCTAAAAAATACAAACGTGTTCATCAAAAGAACAAATGCAGTCAACAGACTTGACATAAGTCACCCCATAACATATGTTGCATGTGATGTAGAATAAACATGGCAAGTTAATATAAAAATGCACAGATGGGTATAGGATAAGGCTGGAAACTATATGCATATAACTTGTGAAACCCAATATCATTGTCAAGCAGGCAATGTTTCTAAAGGTATGTCTGTTGGCTACAATCTAGGAGGGAAAGGTGATCCAAACTCTGTGCCAGTTCAGCAACGACTGAATCTGCACTTGGACTTTCTGCATCTGAAAACAGGTGACAACAAGGGCAATTAACAGCATGCTTTTCAACATCACTCTCAATATATAATACACCCATTGTTTCATGTATGACATGATTATTTTAAATATATTCATTTAATTACACAAATGCAATGACCAATATCACAGGCAATGGAATGGAGCCTAACGATTTTTGTTAGAAGTTAGAAGGCAACGTTAATGCCTGCATTTTATTCGTACAAATCAGACCCAACAAATCAACTATGAATCATATTGGTCACAAAAGGCTACCTGGTTAAATGTAAGCAATATCAATGATGACATTGGCAACAGCACTTGTCGCAAACATTGAACATTCTAAGTGGTTCCCAGCAATATTTACGCGTGAAAAAAGACGTGCAAGAGAGGAACATCATTGTCTCAACAAGATTATATATCAATTAAAAATTTGTTTTTTTACATAATAATACAAATGTCTAGCAGTGTGCTTACCTGTACAGTACATTCCATCCTGATCCACCAACCCTTTTACAAAATCACCATCAACTGGTGATATATCCGCAGCACGAGGCTCAAGCTCTGTTTGTTCACTTTGGTTCAGAGTCACAGATATGTTCGATTCATCACCTTGGTCTGTTGGCCGTACTCCTGCTGATTCCGTGGCGTCTTTGTTTTTACTCGCAATCGTACAATTGTCGACATCAGACCCTTTTTCTTCAACTACCAGACTTTCTGAAGCTTCTGACGACTGATTATTCCTGTCATCCTGGTCTGTCTCAATGGTGTCAAAGTCAGACAGATTTTCCTTCGTCTCTTTAGTGTTCACACTGATGTCTTCTGTGACAGTTTCATGCATGGCGTCAGAGGTTGAGTCGCCGAATATATCAAGTTCAGCTTTTATTGTAGGCTGACAATGCGCTTCTGGCATAGTAGGTTGACAAGACTCAAAGTCCTGAAGCAATTCTTCCTCAGGATTGAACAAACTATGATCTTCCGTGTGTGTCTCCAGCTCTTCTGCATCTCTGTTTATTTGCCCTTCCTCCTCATTTAGCTGATCACAGGTCTGATCACTTGACTGTGACCCTTTACCACGTATTTCTGAATTTCTCTTTTTTAAAAAGCCATCTGGGCGGAATGTGCTTCTGGTCACTTCCTGTTTTTTTACTGAAGACTCAATTTCAAGCTCAAATACCTCTGCTGACAAAACCTCACTCGTAGTGTCTTCTGTTACTTGTGCACACAACATCTGATCACATTCAGTTTCTGCTGCATATTCTGCACACATTCCAGCAGAATCTCCACATCCATTTTCTGCAGCCACCTTCTCACTTACGTGCCGCAATAAATTTGACACTGGCTCTGTTTCCTGTTCTAATATCAAAAGATCTGCAATCGTGTTCTTTTTTATTTCATTTTCTACTTCTGACTCGAGTTGCTGAGACTCGGTGCCTCTTTCACCTTCCAAAATAATTTCTTTCATGTCATTTTCAATAGCATCCTCTTTTAATATGGCTATTTCTACTGTGTGTGTGTCAGTTGATTCCAAACTCTTTCCTTCATTTACTGCCAATTCCATCTCAAACATGTCTATTGCATCTTCATCCACTTCCAATTTTAGTTCACTTACTTGTTCTACTTTACAGGGATCTTTACTTACTTCTGTCTGATTCTCATTCTGACATGTCTCCACTGTATTCTCTTCAACATCGACATCCTCACGCTTTTCTTCACTTTCTTCAACATTAAAAATCATAATAGAACTGTTATCCTCTTTTTCGGCACCTTTGCCATTTTCCATGTCACTTTCTGTACCTTCATCTTTTGTAACCACCTTAAGATTGTATTGGCGATGAATAAGTTTCATCAGATCTTGTTGCCAACCGGTATTGTCACTCTCAAGTGCCTTCTTTTCCAGAAAGTGTATCACCTTACAGGAAGGGTCCTCTTTCAACTTGGCTATTTTTTTCTCCAGCACAGTGCGTTCATTCCGAATACATTCCCTCTCAATAGCAAGCAATGTCCTTTGCTCCTGCAGTTCCACAGCAAACTGATCAACTTTGGCCTCTTCCAGCCTCAATCTTTCTAATTTATTTGCCAGTTTTACTTTCTCTTCTTCAACCTTTGCTTTTTCTTCATCAAGTATTTTTTGTTCTTTTTGTAGTTTAGTCCAGTTTTCTTTTAACAATGCTTCAGACACATCGAAGCTATTTTCTTGCTTTGTCTCTTCCGAATCAGTCGTTTGGGAGCTCTGATCTACTGTTGGGCGTAATGGTATAGTGTAATCAGATACAGGGTCACTTGGCACCTCTCTAAATTTTGCCTCAACTGCTGAACCTGCAACTGTTTCTTGGTCTTCCTGGGCTAGTTGTTGCCAAGTTGCATCCTTACTGGCTCCAAGGAGAAGCTCCTTCTTGGTTTTGTTTGAAAGCTCCTCCATTGACTCCACCAGAAAATCATTTGAACCATCACTTGGTCCACGAACGTACGAATCGATCAGCTCCACATCCTAAAGACGGTACCGACAGACAGTATCGATGATCACGGTCAGGTTCAAAGCATGGAACACATCATTTGACAGGATGATATTGCTTATTCGTTTTGACTGAAGCTGATAAAAGACCAATGGGTACTTTTTTTACACACTAGAATTATCTATAACTGTTCTGAAGAAATTTAATTACAAAGAAAGGATTACTTCATGAATAAATCAGGAACGTTACCTCTTCATATTCAAGATTTTCCATGGCCTTAGATAGGTTTGTGTTGGTATCAGTTGGTACTGGATCTAGAATGAGAATAAAACACTTTAAGACACTTTTTTTTTATAGAACACAGACATTCTAAATATAATATACACGATCACATCAAATTGAGTTTCTCATATCTTGGCAATGTGGCCAAAGAAAATTTGTTCTGCATTTAAGTGCATATATTGTATATACATTACGTCGCTTATCCACAACTCCCTCATCAATCAACTCAGAGATATATTACATTCTTTTAATAGTCAAAATTAAAAGACAAGGTTGTCAGCAGCACAAACACTTTGTTTTCCCCATGCTGTTGCAGCTACGGTGGAGATTTTCCTCTGTGACAGTAAAAATGCCACTTTCAAGTATGAAATGTATTCAGTCCATGGTAAATTGGTGACAGAGAAATTATTGGCACATCGAGATATGACGCACTCTACATCATGCCATACAGAACGTGATGGTGCTTGCCACCTCTGCGATAAATATAAATGGATGACAACACGAAACCACAGTGGCTCATTGACTTTGCTTGCTGACGTTAGGTGAATATTAAATGTTTTCAGGTCAGTAACACTACAGAACCAGAAGAAGACCAGTGGTTTTGAACACGATGTCAAATTACATTCAGCATGTTGCAACTGCACTAGTGGAATCAGATCAGAGGTATTATGTAGCGATATATGCAGTATAAAAGAAAAACAAAACGTTTTTTGTAAGAAAAATATTTGTTGCCAACATTAAAGGTCAACATTTGCCATTCCCAGCTTTTACAACATAACAGACCAGGGCTGGTATCATTATACAAGCACTTATCACCGAGTCTCAAATGGTCAAACAATTGGCAAGGTTAGGGTGGTATGTTTAAAAAAGTTATATCATTTGTATACACACAAGCAACACACTATTAATTGTTGCTTTGTTGTAAATGCAGTCTCTGCTGTGGTTTTATAATGAGTCCGATGAGCATGAGACCAGTGTCTTCTGTGCGGCATAGTTTCTAATAGAACAAGCTTTAACGATCTCCAATAAGCATGGTTGCGATAGAAGTTCAGCATACAATATACAGATGGATAGGTGGTTGTCTTTTCAATTAATGCACTTCCACTTCTAATGTTTTGTATTGTGTATACAGTACGTGGTACAGAAGCAATTTCATGTTACGGTTATATGCACGCACATGTCACTTTTAACTTGCAACAGCAGCATAGATCTGCTAATACATAATAAAAGTATCGTCTGAAAAAGATGCTTGTGGCATGTAGAGCAGCAGAGGCCCAATACCTGGATTTCTACCCCTCAACGCCTCGTTGTCAGAGGACAGCCTCACACGGCTGTCCCCCATGACCTCAGTTGGCGATGACACCTTCGCCCAAGACCGTGGCCTCTCACCTGGCACACGCTCTTGCATCACCAAGCGTTCCATGCTCTCTGAAATAAATACAGACATACACGTAATACACAGCAGCCTGAGACAATTTCATTTTTTATTTAGTTTTCTGTACCGACGATATATTTTACTTGTTGGTCAATTGGACTTCTTGCAGAGATCTTACACAGGGTGTTCATAAAGGTATCAAGCATCAAGATTGAATTGTCAGTATTTTGAGTTAGGTCAATATAACTGTTCATGCACACACATATACTTAGTAACATGATGATATTGTCTTGAGTGCCATTCTTATACATGTTCACACTGATCATGCTGAGATTTGAGAGCGTCTCAAGTGTTCATAAACATATTAAGTGTGATATTTTTCAATCCTTCAGTTATGTGCTGCCAAGGATTACTAAAATCTTGACGGTTTAAATAAACTCAAATATATAAGGAATGTGCCCAACATTTCAGTTATACAGCTTAAAATTAAGTCCAATTATAATTCTTTAAAATGGTTGATAATCTTTACAACACCCTGTAGTTTCAATTGAGAGTTGTAAATATGGTTAATAGGATGACCAAGGATTTATTCAAATACTAATAACCTCAACGGGAAATGGGGTGATGTGTATTAACTTAATAAATTCACTTAAGGCAATGACCACTATCTGAAATGTTAGATCGCATATTTTTAAGTAACTCTGTAATGTTCGTTTATGTGGATATGGAAATGTATTTTCAGTCAAGAGTAAGAAATAATGTTGTTGTTTAACCATTAAAGCTTAAATAAAACATGTATAGTGTGCATTAAAAGTTGACTACGTCAAATGTTACCTTGAAAGTCTTTTGGTGGCATTTCTGCGTTATAATCTTTACTCTTCAAAGTGCACCTGAAAAAAAGCATTAATTGTAATGGGTTTTTTTAAGTTAAAAGGGTAAATATGCAGCCCTGCAAATGCTCATGCCATTGTTGGTTTAAGGGCCTTCACTATAGGGTATTTGGCCTTCTCTTCCATGCTGATCAGATATTTGATCGGTTAATTGACCTGCTGATCAACTAACTGTGATGTACCCATTTATACTGCCGGTGGACAGATAGAGGGATATAAGAAACTTGTCCGTTGTTTCAGCTGCCACAGCAGGAGATCGAATGGAGACTTATAGATTGCAAGTCCTGTGTATAAACCATTACACGATGGCAGTATCATAGCATCAATTGCAAGTTCTAATACATATTTCTTTCAGTCCATTGAAATACATGAGAATGCATCCTTTTTAATGTGATACAACCCAAAAAAACCTGTATTAAGAATGCATCATGCTGCACAAAGGTATTTTTAACCACTACCCTTTCCGCCCAGACACCCAACACTGGTGTTGTGCCAGTATTCTTTTTGTCAAAGACGTGGCCCTTGACTAACGTGTGTCATGCCTTTTCAGTCGTTCTCACCTGTCAACAGCCTGCCGTAGCAGAGTGTACCACTTGTTTCTCACATCCCGCTTGTTGGCAAAAACCTCAAACATCCGAGGTTCTGGAGGTGTTGTGTTGATGAGGAAGAGCCCACAGCTTTGGTTTGCCATTGGCCGCACGAGCAGCTTTTGGAGAGAGATGGCCGCTGGCATTTGATCCTGTGCAGTTAACGGCAAAATATCTTGGCGAGTTCACAAGGATATCCCCCCAACACCAGTGTTGTAGACACACATGTACTGGAAAATTGTATAAGCACGTGCAAAGCACATTTTTATGTCATGCAGCACAGCTCACTTGGCCAACTTCTACGAATTTGTGGCTCATAAGAATCAATCAAACGCGAACGGTGCAATTAACTATGCTGAGCTATAATATATATCGTATGTCAAAGTTGCATCTCTTTATACAAAGCAAGATTTATGGTGTTAAAATTAATATATATTCTGAAGCAAACATATGGATGTGATATTTATATAAGGATGGCACGGTTATACACGAGAGCATGGTGGGTCCAGCACCATTTCAGAAGTTTTATTCCCAGGTGCTAATGCTGAGCACTCAATATAGGTTGAGTACCTCGTGGAGGTCCATGAGATGAGATCAAAGTGAGAAGTTTTGGGAAATAAAAAAAATTACAAGTTGACACTGGATGGAGAAGGCTTGCAGCCAAGAACCTCTATTTAGGCAGATAACTCAAGAAGAAGACCTAAGCCAGTTTTATGAATTAGGTTTGACTGCAAATAAGCATGACCAAGAATGTAACACTGAATGTTGGTGTTAAAGAACCACTGCTCCCAATTAACACATTTAAAGTCAGAGATAAAGATCCCCCATATAGCCTTAACAAGACTTTTGGGGCAAGTGCTGTTAGTGAGCACCTATGAAGGCCGGCATGGCGCAAAAGTGGGTGGGTGGCCAGCACCACGACAGGTTGGCTTTGTTTTCCGAGTGGTGATCTTTACATACTGAACCAGGTACTAAATTGAGCTAAATCGGCCACTGGTACGCACATACACAACAATAACATCATTATAACAGTATGTACCAGTGACGCAAAGACGTATTTCTGGTCTTTCTCTTGCAAGAAGATCAAGCAATCCTTCAGCAGCACAGCATGGATATCTGTAAGAGACACAAGAACTTTAATTAGGCAAGCGACCATTGAAAACCCAACTCCTTTGCTGTGGAGATTTGAGAAGAATTCTATTTAGGATTTATATAGCACCCTTTCCAGAATAGCTTTTAATAAACTGATGAAAGGCATTAAATAATATTCAAAACAAAAAAAAAACGCTCAAAGTCACTATAAATATGCAAATCATTTAAATATATACAAGCCAATATGTAATTAAGTTTATGTAAACTGTAAATCATACAAATTTAACAATGGAAATAGAATGATTACAGTTAACTCAGTTCAACAGTAAATACAGCAAATGTAACTGCCTAGACATAAAACCTAAAAACAAAACAATATTTGAAATCAATTCAATTAGAGAAAAAAAAGAGTAATTCCAAAGGAAAATTTAACTAAGATATAGTATGATTTTAAGCAACCTACACATTACAGAGACACAATCCAACGAGCTAATAATTATGTGATTAATCCTGTCCACAATTGGTCTGATCACCCCCTCTGGGAAAGGATGAACCGCTTCTTCGGTGACAAAAGTTGAACTGTGAATTATTTTTTATATGAAAATTATTTGCAAAAGTATTGTAACCATCAAAGTAAAAATGCCTAAAATAATACATTATAACATTTTCAAAGTTTCATGCTGTTCATGTACTACAAACCACTGTTTTATGACTTTTTGTGCACCACCTTAAATTATACGAGATCTGTTTTATCCACAACTGGTGTATTATAATGGACAGAACGTACAATAATCAACCACAGATTGGTAACAAAGCAGGAATCGTCTGTAATAACTCTCCCTTTGCAACCCAATTAATTCGTGATGTGGTGTGAATCCGAGTGAAATACACATCATTTTTACTCGGAGTGAGTGAGCTGCCGATAGTGGTTGCAGGGTTTGCATGACCCAATTAAATAAACGAATGCAAATAATTTAATCTAGGCATTTATCCTAAGAGTAAATATATTTTTAATCGGTGAATCTACACAGATACAAGCCTAAAGTTAGGAAGTGTCAGTGTACCTTTTGTGCGGCCTGGAGCCATCTTTCCCACCAGTGGTCCGTCATGGATCAGCTCATTGGTGAGCATGTCATCGCGATTGAAGGGAAGGCCACTCTTGAAGGTTGTGTGCGCCTTGGCCTCGATGCGCCCAACCAGCTCCTCTAGGCGCTGCTGCTTGCGGTATTGGCTGACCTGCTCATCCACATTGCTCAGGATGGCACGAAGCGAGGACACCGCACGTGTCAGGTGCATATGCTCCGAGATGCCCTCTGTGAGACAAAACAGGGCATGGAGAAAAATAATTACATATGAAGTAGATAAAAAAAAATATTTTATGCATGACAACTTCAATCTGTAAATTTTATATAAGTAAAACCTCACAAATAATGTGGGGTAAACCGGACAGGCTACCTAAATACGTATATGCCTGTTCGGTCGATTTCATTTTGAGCAATGGGATAGCACTCAAATTAGACAGGCACTTAACGGCCATGCTGTGCCTCCAGGCACTTAATTGCCCTCTAAGTGGCTGTGTCGCCCAAATCTACCCACCACTCCTTTAATATTGTGGATCACCATAGCCAGCAGAGCTTTACAAGTGTTAAGAAAATGCTGGAATAATAGTACTTCAGTTGTCCATAATTTAAATTCTTGTATCCACTTGAACTAAGTAATCTCCTCCACACTGCTCTAACGCCCCACACATTTCTCTTCTTGCTATGCTTTCCTCCATCCCCATCCACAGACAACTCTCTCCCACATATCGCGACAGGGAAGATGAAAACTTATTTTAGTCTGCAACGTTCTGAACTGGAAGGCGTTCCAAAGCCTCTGGGTGTCATGTCCATACCAAGTCACGTAACTGATGAGACTGTACAACATTTCCCAACGCAATTGCGGTTTCATGTACCGCTTCTATATGGCCTCTTCATATGACCACACATGATATCTTCACCAAATGACAAAGGTAAGCTTTGTTTGCAAATTTGCTACATAACAAATATGAACTATGACAGCAGGACATGGGGCAATGAATAGAGCAGGGCACACGTGCTCTGTGTAAGGCACAAAGGACTAAAAAAAAAATTATCCATGCAGATGGATTTTTGACTGTAGGATCTAGAACATCTGCCACTCACTCCACTACAGCTGCTTTCAATTCTTCCCAAAGTAGTTGCGATACGATTAATCTCTTTTGTAAAATGCAATAATGTCACATTATGGGAATCTTAAAACTTCACTGGGGCAAAATGTTAACATGCACATCTTTGTTATTTACTTCCCCGGCTTTGCTCTTCTGCAACAACTAGATTATGGCTTCAACCATGTATACCATCACCTCTAAATAATAAAGTGTATCCTGTGCGATGTTCTGGTTATAATGTAACATATTAGCATCTCTGTATTTTCTTCTTTCATACAGGGTTGCCAAGCATCCGGTCATATGATAAGATTTACTGGTTTTCAACCTTGCCGTACAGTGTCCACTCAATGCTTCCAACCCAGATGTCAAAAGTCTGTTTATTGGCACGTTTGCCCCGTGAAATGTTTGCACTACGACAGATTTCTCCATGCCTTACTCCCCGCCAACCTGTTCCCAACTTGTATATTATTTTGGAAATGGGAAAAGTCGGCAAGCCTCGATGTCATCACGTGACAGTCATGCACCTTTTGTGTACTTGAGAATACGATCGAGGAGTGGAGGGTACTTGGTGATTCGCTGCGTAACGAGAAGCACGCACTCCAGGAAGCCCTTCCGCCGCACTTGTGGATTCTTACTCTGCTTCTGCATGGGGCACAGTCGCCAGCCAAACATGTCAGCTCACATCAGTTTTGTCATGTCCTAGGTCAATAATCAACCATGTTAAATTGAAACTAAATTACAAAACGTAAGATGAGCAACGTTTACTCAAATTCAATACATGCGACTCGTGTATATCGTGTGGATTTTCAATTTCACAAAGACAGCACGTACCCGCACGAAAATCTGCATCTTCTTATCTTTGGTCAGAAGTTCTTTGAAATTACTGACAGACTCACTCTGTTTACTGCAGAAGGCCCCATACAAATCCTTCATCTTCACACCCAGATCACCTGTAAACTGTGCAAAAACACAAAAATTGACTCCTCTGATTACTAAACTGCAATTAATAAAACACAATACACTATATAAGTCCTCATAAACCATTGTTTTGAGATTACCTTCCAATTTCTGATGTCCCTTAATGCTATCGATTCCTCGGCATTAAATGCGAATGCATCATTATGAACAGCAGAGCATAACAAATTACAGCTTAAGTCAAATTAGAGCTACAAATACACTTTTGATATTTCACTTCGCAAGCGATGGATTTTTAAGGAAATCATCCTGTTTTCTGTATAACCAGTGCCACCAAACAAAGTTAATCTTCAACAAAAACTCACTTACTATGGCCCATATATTCACTGAGTATTTATTGCAAATTTTCCAGGTCATTGGTAAACTGTAGTAGTCGTATATTAACTATGTATGTCTGTACAACATGCTATATTCTTGAACATCTGATTGCATACATTGAATATACTTTCAAATGATACTTAAAGTTCAACTGATAATAATTCTGATGCAATAAATGACAAACCTGTTCGAGCAGAAGGTCTCCGATGTGATGAATGACAAAGTTTTGCTGGCTGTCTGGCTGCAGGCTGTCCTTCTGACGGGTCAACAGGGTGTCTAGGAATTGCGTGTGAAATGAATTGAGCTCATCAAGCCGGGGGAAGATACGATCCACCACAACTTGATCTAGCTGCACATCGTTCTGAAGGCCTTTCCGGTACACCTCGGACAGGATACGCAGTGTCCTCACATAGTTCATCTCCGTCTGTATCAGCTCTGTTCGCAAACAAAGCCATGAATGTAATTCAAATATATACAGTAGCATGCAAATTGGCAACAACAGTATGTGTTAATTCTATCATTATGGAGCAGAGAATGGAGGTCAATAGTTATTTCTGTGACCACTCATGATTTAATAATGAAAACCGATCGAGCAATATGAAGATAGAGAGGGCATCGCAGTTACTAATATGTCATGTGATGCTTTTAAAACGCCATAATTTCTCACCCTGGCCAGGTGGAATGAACTCTTTTGTCTGGAGCATTAAGAAAATGGGTCATATCGTGAGAAATTGTCTCTCTGGGACGAGTATTATTCCATTGTAGTATTCAATTGTGAAAATAGGCAACATCTGTTTAGGTATATAGGTGTGAGGGACTTAATAAAAGTATATCCAAATTTAAGGAATATATCCTATTTCATTAGTTACATACAAAATTAAATACACGACAAAAACACATCTATAAGCCATAACTATAATTGAATGACTCAAGTTGTCCATGATGTACCAACTTATTTTATAGACAACTCTGTGAATTGGGAATACAATTTTAAATTGGTGGCACAAACCCATAATTCAGCATTTTGGAGGTGAAATTGGTATGTTGCACTGAAATTATCATGCATGTAAAACACTTGCCCTCAGAGCAATGAGGTGGCCAGTAGATGACATTGCAGAACATTGGTGGCTGAATTATATTATATTGAGCTTACTCGATGGAATGTTTCCTACCACATCCCAACTAAGGAAATGGGTAAATATTCCATTGCAGGAGGCACTGGAATTATGTGCTAGAGGCATGATTGACTGAAAGACTTATTTACTAATAAAATGACCCAAAGTCTAGTGTGCAGACTGCTAAATAATGCTTGCGTATACAATATATACAAGTAAAAATGGTCAATGTCAACTGGTTATAGAGTGCTTACAAGCCATATCTTTTGTTTTCACGAGAAAAAGGTGATGTTTTTATGGCCCTTTATCAATCCACTGCTAGATCAAGGTCTCCCCATACCATGTTCGATGGTGAGGGGGGAAATCTAGGAACCAGATCAGATATCTCTCACAGAGATGTTAGCCACCGTCCAGAATTAAACTCGGGTCACTGGATTGATAGCGCAGTGTGCTAGCCACTGCTTGGCCACTCCACTCCCATGATTCACGATCATGAACACTGGAGGTCCTGCACTTCCTGGTGATGATGCTCTCAAGCTGTGTCAAAGGTGAATTGAAGCTCATACAAGGAGCAGAGAGTCATCGAATGCCATAATTAAGTCGTGGGATATTTGTGTTCATTCCATGTGGCAATTTAATGCTTAATATTGAGATGTCTGCCAAAACATTTGACACCCAAGCCACAACATGTAATTTATTACACATTCGATGATGAGGGACATCAAGAAGCCCCAGAATCTGCTTTAGTTCATGACGTTGCATTTGGTGGTAATAATGAGAGTATTTTATCATATAAAGCAAGTGAACTCCCTTGTCCACGCAACATTATTTGAACTTAGGCGATGATGCTTCCGTTTGTTTTTATCCACCATTACAATTCTATGGAAATCATTGATCACTCACTGAATATAGATCTCCCCAGCCTTGGCAAATAATAGTATTTGTAAGGAACAAGATAAGAGAAGTTATATTGTGTAACACTTATTAGCCATATCAACATTTACACAATCAAATTTACCACAAATACATAATACAAACAGAACAAGTACAATGTATTTAAGTCGTATCACATTTTCAAGAGAAATGTGATTACAAGGTAGGGTCCGTCTGAGTCACAAGAATTGTGCATGTGACGTGAAATTAACTCCCCCCCCCCCCACCTTATACACTCGTAAACATGTCACATGACTCTCCCTCATCCCGGGCCATTACTCTACACTGGGCTCACATGCAAACATAACCCTTACTCAAGCTGTTACTCTCAGACACATGACACATTTACTTCCACATCATAGCCATTACCCTTCAGTGCCACCCCCTGCTCCGGGAAAGACAATAAGATGGCTAAGACAATAAGACGAGGCAAGGTTTCATGCATTCCCTTTCACGGAACTCAACATCCTCCAACCCTATTCTTGTTGGCTCCTTTCTACTTACAATGGAGCAAAACGTAACAATGCAGAATATAATGTTCAATTATATATAACATTGAAAATAATCACGAATGGCTCCTGCTCATACAATTAGTGTACCAATAGCATTGGATTATAAAGCCTCAATGTGCCAATGAGATACAATTTTTGTATTTAATCAAATACTACTATGAAAGATTGTCTTTGAAGGCTCTTAGCCGAGGAGCAAAGGTTACGTCCTGTTTGATTCAACTCTCTTACACACGCGTTAACTATTTATTTACCTTTCAATTATATATTGCAGCAGTAAAAGTAGCAACTTTGCAAAGTCATTTTATGAAAATCAATCATGACAGACATTTTTTTAAACCAATAAGCCACATTGGCGTGAAATACATTAAAACTATCAATGATTTGCAGAAGAGGGAGGAAAGCGTCCATGAGCTCATATGGAAGAGTGATTTAGAAATAAATTTTATTATATTTTGCCCTTGACCCTCTAAGAACGACTTGTGACCTGATGGCTGAGGGTCACTGCATGGTGGCCGAGTATCTCAACAGGATTGTCACATTACCATCTTAAGCATACATGTTAGCACTTAAATTTTTATTTAAAGCTTTCATGACTGCAGGGATTCATATTCTTGGTTCATTCGGTAAAGTGATGATGATTGCTTGTGTTGCAGTCGAAACGTCGTGAGAATTTTTATCGTTTTATATATTTTTTTATTTTATTGTTTCCCTTCTACGTGACTTTACCGAAAGAACCAAGAATATGTCAGTACTTCTCATATATTAAGCATTGTACCTTGGTAAAAATGTGTTCCTCGAATCAATGCTGCCATCTACAGGTGTTCTTCCTAACTATATTATAGTATTGTTACAATTGCTAAATGAGTGAAATGTTATTCATAATAAATTGGAAATTGTATTTATATGGCATGAACATTTGTTTAAAGCCGTTTTAAAAGATTTAACATATATCTACAGCCAAAAGGCATATAACCCAGCAATCAGGCTTTCTTAGACAAAGAGGATGATGTTGCAGATGTCACACGGGGGGGGGGGGGGGGACTGCTGGTACATTGGTTAACAGATTGTGCTATGAACCTGGTGATATGGGTTCAAATCCTGGGCACACTGCCCCTAATGAGGTGAAGTATAGTCAAACTGTGTAGATATTGGCTACAAAAGGGACAAAATAAGTTAAACAAACAACCATACAATTTAAAAGATGTAGGGAGGGGCCTTTATCAAGCAGTGTATTGACAAAAGGATGTACTTTATTTTTATTAGCACTAAACCCCATTGTGTTAGATCATTATCCACGTGTGTATTATGCACTCCTTTTGCCTTACCATAAATAACTTCTTGCCTTCTGACAATATCCTTCTTCTGCTTCTTGACAAACTTCTCATCCATGGCCACACTCCATGACTCGGCTTCAAATAGCTTCTGTTCCATCTCAAAGTCGTACATTAAATTTGTCAAGGACATATCTCCTGCGCCAGTCCAGGGAGAAAAAATAGCGTGACGAATTAGAAACCTCTCAGCATTTTCCATAGGCTCATATAGTAGGAGTTAGAGATCCACAGTTCACTTTCACATTCATAAACATAAAAGCCTGCTTTTGGAGCCACTTCCTTGAACAGATGTCATCAAAAGATTTTCAAACATATATAATTCAAAGAATCAGAATATTTATTTACACCGGAGGAATCCGATTAGCAATCAAGCTCTTTTTCACAGATGCCCAGTAGGGGCGGCTCAGAATGTTGCAAATGATAGGAAAAGTAAGCAAATCACTTAAAATATATATACCAAAAATAAAAAATTCTTATCTTACCAGGTAAAGGCTACTAAGCTATTAACTTATTTTCAGAAGCGACCTGGCCACATAGGATCACTCAACAAAGTGGCTTAAAATGTGGAAATGTAAAGCAGCTCAAGCATCTAAATGCATTTGGAATGATGAGTGAAATTGCATGTTTATGTACACAGGCCAAAATACTTAAAATATAATTTCATAGATCAAAGGAGGTCTAATGATGTAGATGCTCACCCCGAGCCCTCATTACTTTGATAGTGCATTGTCTTTGAGCTGTACGCCTTTTGGCGTCATCTGGTCGAGCACCAATTGGGTCGAGGCTCAAAAGAAAGCCGTCCCTTGGTGTGGACCAATCAGTTTCAAGGACAATGCATATATTATCATAGTATGTTTTTGTTTGCATTTTGACTGCAGGTATTGTGGTTAATGCAGACATGAATCCTTGTAAAAAGGTTTCAGTTTTGTTGCCAGAAAAAAGGGGAAAAACCCCATTATTATATTATAATTTCATAGGTTAACAAATATCACCCTGGCAAACACTTCAAATTCTCAGAAATGTTGCTGCAATCGTGGAAAATCTCATTCATAACACTATAACATTTACACAAAGTAGATCAAACTTTTAAATTACAGCTTAAATTGTGCCAAAACCCTCATCTCAAGTACCCATATAGTCATCTGCTACCTGATTTTATTGAAACAATATTTGAGGAGCTATAAATGTCTTCATATACCCTCAAACTAACAATCTATCCTGGATGATTCAACACGTGTTACAACAAATACTGAAAATGTGTACTGCCTGGCCCTGTGCTACGTTAAAATTTTCAGACCGTATAGGTCTGCACTCACTCCTTTTACAAGTGCTCATATAAGAGACAAGTGATTAAATACTAGACCAGTGGCTGACTATACAAGTCAGTTGGTGATATCCTAACCTTTTCGGGAAAATTGTAATACCTGAACAGTAATAAACATTATTGTGTCTTTAGCAATGTGTAAAATGGTTTTAAAAAAATTGGATGCTCAAACTCCTCAATGAGCCAACAAGTCTTCAGAAAGCAATGATTATTCTGCCAAGCAAAATTACATGTATACTAATCTGAATTGTTACACATTTCTTCGTCATGAACTATTTTACACTCATTTAACTTTTTTTACCTTATTCTTTGTTTGCAGACTTTTATGTTCTGATATTTTGTAAAATTTTATATTTCTATTTCACAGTTATATTTTTATTATTTAATTGTTCATGTCAAACAAGTCTAATGCCCATCACACAACTGAATTATAGCACTGCCGAGATCCTGCGTTTTGGCCGTAAGAAATGCAAGTTAAAACAGGCTCTTAAGTTTTACAAGTCTCAATGCAACAACCAAATATCCCAAATAATGACTGTTAGAGAATGAGTTTTGAGACTCGGTGAATAACTTATTAAAATTCTGTTAAGCTAGGTTAGGGCCCATTGTGAAGATATGTTTATTTTCTTCGGGAGGCTTAGGAGAATGTTTGTCATCAACTTTCATTGCCTTTGCTCCATTACCAGTAATTTAGCAAAGCAAGTAAGAAAATAGTCTAGACCTAATTCAGTCAAGGATAATTGTGAATTAATATATGCACATATACTATAGATTGAGAGATTGGTAATCTGCACAGTTGAAGGATGGCTTTATTGTGGCTCTGATTATTAGTTCTTAAACTGACATGGATTCTGTAGAACCTCTTTAGCCGTTTTACAATTTCAAGAACAATTATTCTACATTATGCAAATTCAAAAGATAGCATATTTACATGTGGATATCTGTGTATTTGCCGGTTAGATAATCTTAAATATACATGTAAAAGAAACAAATGAAAGAGCTAAAATATCTCACCTTCATCCGTCAAAGACTCCATGGAGACACCAATGTTTTGGTGTGCCAGGACGAGGGAGTCAATGGACTGGGACATGCTCCCAAGAAGCGTGTGAACACCTTTATCCATATCCATATACCCGCTGTAATCAGGTAAAAACAGTATCATAAACAAATTACAAAATTACAGTTCAGATGGACATGTTCATGGATTACTTCATTACTTGTTAAAAATCGTGTGTGTATTGTACATAAGGATTTGTATATGCTCTAACCGACCTGTATTATTCCGACTTAAATGTGTGAGCCAATAGAGTTATAATTGTATGTGTATATGCAGTTGGAAAATACATGGGATTCTTCACCCCCTACTGCAAACACTAGCAGGACCCTTCTGGAAAAAGAGTCGTGAAACTCAGTAAGGCTTTATTGGGTAAACAAGCATTAATCATATACATTACGGCACTGAGTAATAGTTGTGTTCTCCTAAGAAAGTGAATACCAATATAATGTTTACAACAACAAATATCGATAACACTATATATTTTTCATTGCTAGGATTATGTTGTTTACATATGGACTAAACTTCAGCTAATTTACAAAAACAAATATTAACAAAAAAACTATTAACAGCTTTTTGCAGTGCTTTTTTAATCTGCCTGCTTAAAAAATGATCAGATGAACATTCACCTGCAATATGCACCCATGACGTGCATTTCACAATACACTTCATAAGTGACATTGTGCACAACACATGCATGCAGAACAAATGCTGCTTGGAGAACGTTTCTTTTATGTGTGGTGCATGCAGCAGAACATACATTGGAATTCCTAATATGTCAAGAGTTGTCCAAACTACCAAACTATGGCCAAAGGCCAAATCCAGATAGGGGCTTAAATATGGCCTGCTGCAGATTTAAAATTGTATCAAGTTAATAATCTTGGTCCACATTACATTTGTGGTAATTGTACATGCAGGGGGTACAGGCATAGTAAGTGACCCTCAATGAGACGACCATAGGAACAGCACACGCATGATTTTATCTCTGTGCATATATCTTTCTCATATCTCTCTTCTGAATGTATCTAATTTATCTTTAATCTCTTATGAATCTCTCTCATTTCTCTTCTGAATTGCTTATATCTCCCTATTATATTTATGTCAGACGAAAAATATGTTATATTTCTTGTCTGAATATATCGCTAATCTTTTATATAGCCCAAGGCTGAAGATAAACCTCATGTCTCTCTTATGAATATCTTTCATGCATCTTATTCTCATATAAATTCAGATCTCTATCTCTTGTGGCTTTCTTTCATGAATCTCTCTCCTATCACTCACCTCCATATGTATCTCTGCCTTTTCTGTTATGTATTATATGTTTGTGGTACAAGGTTCTCAGTAAGGATGTGTAGTGAGCCATGGAGTGGGTTATTCAGGCTGCACAATGGGTCATCAAGTGGCACAGTAGGCCGTACATAGGTTTATGCATGACTTTACCTTTACATATTTCACCCACTGTGCATTGGGGCAAGCATTGAGTTTTACAGTCGGGTATTTAGTGAGGATATGGTGTAGTACACAGTGAAATGTTTCTTGCAGTGCATTGGTGGCCTATACAATAACCGATGTGGTTGATATCAGTGGTATGTAGTGATGTGTAATGCGATGTCAACATACCCTGCCATGTTGATAGTCGACACACTCTTGGAGAGTGTGGAGCTGCTGATGGGGGTACGAAAGGTATGACTTCGGTCCGAGAACATTAAGTCGGCTGCCTCATTTGGTAGCACGACTGAGCGTGGCCGCTCACGCCTTTGTGGTGTTGCTGCAAAAAGTGCGCATAAAGGACAAATCGGAGTGTTAAAACAGGTGTCATTTTAGCCTGTGCCATCAGAAGTTAAACATTACATACAACATTTGTTCTCGGATGTGTTCTTAGCTGTAATGCAGCTTATTCATGAATTGAATTCAGGAACATGAGACATTATGCTGAACATGTGGTAAAAAACAACAACCCTTCGTGCAGCCATAGTTCAAATGAGTTCTCACCACATATACAGCCCTTTTGTCATTCCAATGTTAGAAAAGGGCCTCCCCCCCATGTTGTACAGACTAAGCCGGTTATCTAATAATACTTCACTCTGCTTGTCAGTGCAGGTTGGTGGAGGCAGGGAACACAGATACAGCAGCATGCGAGTACAATACAAAGATGGATTTTCTGCACTGCCCTCTGCTGCCCACAACATTGCCGAGAAGAAAACGTGATTTTACACCACCCATCAAAAACTAAAATCCATTTCCATTTTGTTCACGCCAGTGATTTGGTGATTAGGTTGGGTAGAATTATTTATTGGAATTACTTATATCATGACATAGTGATGTAGATCCTGATGTAGTATTATAATGTACTAAGCACATGGTCCATAATGAGATAGTCAGTGTTTAGTTGGTGTGGGTTGGTTAAGGGAATGATTCGACCTCTATGTAAAGATGTTCAATCACCAAATATATATCTATTGCAAGGCATCAAAAGTCTGCATTAACCACCCATAGCTGTGGAAAAAAACATGCAAACAAACATGCTCTAATAATATATGCATCGTCTTTGAAACTAATTGGCCTACACCAGAAACAACCTTCTTTGCGGCCTTGTCTCATGCGATGCAAGACCAGAGAATGGCAAAAGGTGAACAGTACAAAGGCAATGCAAGTATCAAAGTATTAATAATAGCATCAAAATGATGGAAAAAAGAATCGGATTTAGCGTTTCTGGCAATAAAACAAGTGTTAAGATGTTCAAACACCAAATACTTGCATTGTCTTTGTACTGTTTGCATTTTGGCTTTCCCCAAATATACTTTACCTGACTCTACATACACGCAATCTTAAGTTTTTTTGCAGGATTAATTGACCCAACCTGACACACACACATTAAAGCATAATATTTGGTCCTTATCCAAACTTTCCAAAACTGTACGTGAATAGGTAAGGAACACTGCATTTCACAGTCCACACGAGTGCGATGCACTGGTTGTCAAGAGGGAGTAAAAAGTGTGGCGACAATGGCATATGAACCCGACTAAAATGTCTGACACAAGGCATTGGGCTGTTTTTGTAATGGAGGGGAGAAACTTGAGCAATGGATTTTTCCTGTTTTTTTGACAAAAGCAGCATTTTTTTTAATCCATCAACACATGAATAAGGATCATAATATTTTGTTTTGCGCACAAAAACATGCTGAAATGATCCATGCTTTTCTGGTTAAGTACACTGATTTGCAAAAATACAGTAACAATATTAAATACAACATTTTTGTGGGACATAACTTTTTATGCACATTTTTTATTTGTTTTTATTTTTAGTGGTTTGAGAATGTTACAATGTTACAATCAGACTGAGTATCAAGGCAAAGCTTCACCCGCATAACACAATTAACACTCACTTAAAACAATTAAAATTGGTATAAATGTTATAAAGAATACCAAACACTAAGTGGCATGTATAGTAAAACAATGATATGGAGCTATTAGTAGTGTGTGTATTTGTGTTCTATTTACCCATGTTATTCCAATTGTGTTGAAAGAATGTAGCATATCGTCTTATCAGCAACAAATGTAATACATTTATTTATTTTTACATTCATGCCAAAATATTTTCATAAATGGATAACTGGTAATGCTATTTCAGATTTTATTGAAAGTGACAATGCATCATAAAAAGTTTCTTAACGCTTTCACATTAAACTTTGTATGACGTGTCAAGCGTCATCTGCCCACTTTATAAACGGTGGACAGAGTTTAAACAGAAAATGAATTCCACAATGTTGGTCGTCACTGCATTTGTCATGAAATGTTATGCATGTTAGAGCCATATTACGCTTATGTATATCACTTACACAAATGTTAATATTACTGATATTAACAATTAAATTATGACAATTTTATAAATGCTCATAGAAAAGCTTTGTAGCCAATAAAAGGTACAAACTTGAGATAGTTGCAAAAGTAGGCTTCCCTGTATCTGGAAGTTGCATCGGGCTTGGAATTTCCTGCAAAAACAACATATTAATTGAAGGCAAATTTAACTCCCATTCGCGTAACATGATGCAATACAAGCTGCTATTGTAGCTGTGAGCCCTATACATAATGTTTCATCAAATGTACACAATGACCGTTTTAAGTAGGGGTAGAATGAACAGGTCATAAGTGAAACACAAACTCAATGTTGATGCCACAGTTATCAGATGACCTGTAGGTGGCCTGGCTGTTAAAGGTGAACAGAATGTATGTATGGAAACAAGTGTCGTGATAACAAGTCCGTTGCTAGGGATGTCTCCCCGAACTATGATCTTCCTTAAAGGGGTGTGGCACAGAAGATGTCTTTCTCAATTCTAATGCAAACATTAGAACATACACTGTTCATACTCCATTGTGACATGACATGCCCCCTTCAAGGCGCTTTTCTGCAGTAGCAGCATAATGTTGTACAACCAAGGCAATGTTTGACTGAAACCTTTAGTTAGGGTAAGGTTTTTACTTGAAATACTATATTTAGTATTGCAAGGGATATATGGACATCAGTACAAGGAAATAATCATTAAAAATACTATATTTTTGTATTTATTAATAATTTTCAAATCTGGAATATAAGCCAAATCATGCGTAGCAAAAATATAGTAAAACATGGTAAATTAAGATACTGCACCCTGAAAATCCCTTTTACTTCTGATGATATATTTTAATAGCCCAACAATGGCAGCAAAAAAATTATGCAGGCTTGTTCAGGAGTATATGAAGAACACGTAGGTTCAAACATATTCCCCATGAATGTACTCATTCATTCTCCACTATAAATTAAATATTTCAATTGAACAAATCACAACATTACGAACACTGATGCTAACACATTAATATTTGTAAACATATTAACAATACTACACAACTTAAATTTTATACTTCAACTATTTATGTGATTCTAGAAAGAAAACAAACATGTTACGCTATACTGATAACAATTCAGGTTAACTTAAAAAGCAAATATATCCTTACCCTGAGCTTGTTCATAGGACAGGGTGGTACTTTGTCTTTGCATGCTTTATGGGCCATCACGCTGCAATCTGAGCAAGCAATACAACAGCTGTACGTTTTTATGGGTTGCTTGTTTCATGCATGCAAATACAGTGAGAATTTTCATTTGAAGTGTTGGTACATTAAATCGAATTAAAAACTAACACAAATATTAATACGTGGTTAAACAAAGCGTCTCAAAATAACATTTTCAAATAAAGTTATCAGTCGTAAGAAAATATTACATTTTTTGGCCAAAATATTAATTTATCAAGTCCCTGGTGGGAACACGAACAGAATGTCAAGGAAATTCAAGCTGGGGAGTTCATTCAGAAACTATACAACACATATATGGTCAGTGAACTCCATAATGTACTTGTGCACACAACAAGGCATTTGCTATGACAAGACCTGCATACATGAAGCACCATGCAATAGTAGTGGCAGAAACTAACATCCTCTATCATAAGCGTCATAGGTTCTTCATAGGTTAATGTGTCCCCATCACGGATGGACATATCAGGTAAAGGATTACTTTATAAATGAATGCAATACCATGTATGAAAAACAAGTTCAGGTAAAGCATAAACATTAAATTATGTATAATTTCACTCCAAAAAGTTAATCTTCAAATGAAGAAAAGCAGGAAAATCAATGCACATTACCAATATGGCATGGATCAAAAACAGACAATTAAAATTTTACGAATCTCTAAAGTGCATACAGGAGATATGTATGCTTGCAATTACACTGAAAAAAATCAACAGGAATGAATGGATCAGATAATAAATACAAATCTCGAGTATTCATATTAATTCTGAAGCAAAGTTCGTCAGGCTTGGGCAGGACGCGTCAATAGCAGGGATGATGGCAGACTGGACAAATCAGATGATGAAATGGTACCCAAATGAAAGAATGTGATCAAGAGAACCGCCAGAAAGGTGATTAGTACAAGTTCAGATGTAAAATTGATTGTGGCATCATAGGACATTGAGGAATATGGGGGGGGGGGGGGACCTTTCATCAAGTAGTGAACAGACAAGGGGTAGTGGAACAGACAAGGTTTTACGCTCTCACTCCAAAATGTTGCAACTGTTAATGTTGAGCAAGACATGATGCAGTAACAGGAATGGCTAATTTATAGAATACTTACTCTGGCAGCGCATGGCTTCCTTGTGCTTCAGAATGGCGGAACAGTAACGACAATGCGCCGACATAGGTGGAGGGCTTACCACCTCAAATTGGTGGCCAGTGCCCATTTGTGGCCCTTTTTCCTTGTCACGCTCTTTCAGTCGATCCTTCTCTTTTTGTTTCCCCTGCAAGTGGTTGAATTGACACACACAAACATCTCCCTTTTAACTAACATTGGTCAAGTAAATGCTGTTACCAATCACATGGATGGCCGCCATGGCAATACTATATATGTGTCGTAGAAAGTCTAGCAAAACAACAAATGGCTTTCTATTTGCATTTCTGGCGTCTACACACCACACAAGGTATTCACGATCTGGTGGAGTTAAACTAAGGCAAATAATGTACATCTTCAGAAATCTAAACTCACCGTACTTTAAATTTTACACAGCACACAATGTAATCTCCATAACAGCACTCTTTCCGCACAGATACAAATTATATGAAAAGACAAAAAACCATTAAGTACATAATATGATACACATAAAAATAAACAATTGTTCAAATAATTCTAGATTTGAAGCTTTCGTGACTGCAATAATTCATACTCTTTGGTTCTATTCGGTAAAGTCACGTAGGTAAAAAACAAATTAAAAATAAAATAAAAGAAACAATTAAAACACGACGTTTCGGAGGCAACGCAAGCTTCCTTCATCAGGTGGGACCAGTCACAGCCAGTGATTTTGGCTGTGACTGGTGACTTTACCGAATAGAACCAAAGAGTAATTGTTCAAATACTTTTTGCTTCAGCAGTTTATTAATATTAACAGGTGTTAATTTAATAACATTAGATATATTAATGCCAGTCGATAGATATATGGAAAAGAAACACGTAAGCCTTGAATACCACGTAAGGCATTACCTTCGGCAAACTAAACGTAAAAGACATTGTAGCAGTTCAAGACGATGACGAAGTAATGCCACGCAAAACGGTCTATACTTCCTTGCTGCTGCTAACACTCATCACAAAACGTTGCTCAAAAGCGACGCTACACAATTCAGAGTTTCACTTAGATGACTGAAAACCACCATATGCTTCTGGCGGTAATCAAGAATTTACAATTTTTGAAAAAAACTATGTTTTACATACTTTCGGAAAGACAAAAAATTTTGTACTGCTTCAGCTAAACGTACACTGAAGGAACTGCGCACTTAAAGTCTCCTCGTTTGTACTTTAACCCCTGCAGATAAGACCTGAACTTTCTACAGTGAATCACGTTACTACATGCCACTAAAACCCCACCCTTCCGACACTGTACTCAATAATGACGTTGAACATGTCAACGAGCCGACTGATGCTTAAACTTCCTATAAGAACATCACGTCAAGGATTTTAGATTTGTAGTTAAAGACAACTAAATGATGCTTTGTAACACACAACCAAAGTAGATTGTGTAAATATTGCATACAAGCTTGAAACATAGCACCAAAATTAGGACCAATATCTATATCTGCCATACCACACCAGTTTTGATATTTACAGTACATAAACTGACACCAATTGGTCATCCAAAATTATACTTTGTTGTTGTTTGACTATACAATGGCAAAATACAATTGAAAAAATTGCATTTCATATAAACACAAATTATTTGGTAATTGTTTCTAATAGGGTATTTCCATGAATGCAAACTTGTATTTAGGATGTTTTCATTGTGCACTATAACATTCTCACTTTCTACAAAAAAACTGGATATCATGGATATGCCTCAAATTCGAATTTAATACTAACCTATAGTGTGACTGAGTTCTAGAAAGCACATATAAGGATACATATGCATATATTTTTCAATGCTCAATTACAGCACTCGCAATATTAACAGCAAGACTCAGTATTACACCATACAAACTCAACCAAATTGTTTTAATTTCACTAGATATGTTTAGGTTGTTGATGAATACAATACGGAGTTTATATATATATTAATAATAATATACCAGTGGAAGGTATTATTACAGAGACTGTAGTTTTCAATTTTGATGCTGCAGCTTTCAATTAAAACATCCCGTAGTTTAATTTTCAATTTGTAATCACAAGACGACCATTATTGTTGTGATAATATAGGACCAGCAAATGGTTTGCACACTGTGCTATGAACCTGGCGAACTGAGTTATATTCCTGGCCATGGTTAACATCAGTGGCAACAGAACTTGCCCCGAGTGCTCCTTTCACTAATCTGCAGTGACCAGCATGGTGAAGTATAATCAAACAAACTCCCATGTCCACTAATGCTTGGAGAGACCTTAATCCAGCAGCATATTGACAAAGGCTTTAATCACCTTTATAATGTGTAATAAACGTGGTATAAAATCACAAAACCACATGGCATAAAACTTAACAACACTGTATAAGCAATGAAGAAATCCAAGTAAAAAATAATATTTATATTTTACTTAATATAACGACATACTTGTTACTCTGAAATAAGACATAAGCACAACGCTTCCAGTTAGCAAACTTTTTTCTAAAGTCCCATTTTGTTTTTTTGAAGAAAAAAAACACCCGCACTATTACAAAGCCCTCTTAGACCTTAGCAGCCCGTTTTAGTTATTTACAATAGTGTGAATGGCTGCCATTAAAATCACACTGTCCCATGCACACAATGTAAAGGCCACAAGTAATGCAGCCAACACAGGGGCCCATGAACGTAGCATTATCTTTTCACCAACGCTTTTGCAAACCGTTTTCCCAAAGCATTTGCCTGTAAATGTGTGCTTTAGTCAGACAGTACATTATTTCAGCAAGAGAATAGATGTTGAACTGTATTTCACAAACTGACTGCATGGCCTTGACCCTTGTCTTTCACATTTAGTTCTGTTCTTCTCCCAATGATCTGTAACAGTAACCCAAGTCTCCCCGATGACACCACTATAATTCAATTCTGCTCAGTGTTCATGTCACTGTCTCAATTACCCTCTCGTCTGCATCACATTTTCTGCAATTTGTGTTCCTTATTCCTACACAGAATATTTATTTTACAGAATATTGTTTTATATTTCTTCCTGGGTGTGGTTAAGTCTTGGGTCATATCGACACCACCCACTGTGTGTACAACCCTCTTCCATACCCTTCAATTACTTGTAAAACTTCCCACCAGCTCTGAGCTGGTGGGAACATTGCACATGCACGGAGGGAGTGGCAACAGGCATTTAAAAATGCTCATTGGCACACCCAAGATGACGAGCCATTTCATATGTAAGCTTCCACGATCAATATTACAATTCATACTTGGTTTATTTTGGGTGAGATTGTGGAGGTAATCTATTCACTGGCGATTACACCCAGTACCATCAGATGTTAGCAAGAGCTCAGATCTCATGTTCATCTGAGCTTTTACTCACACTTGATAATGATGATGCTGGTTGTAATAGTCGGCGAACAATGCGTAATATGTTCCAAATTTTGCTTGCTTTTTAAGATACATGAGAATAGGTTTTCCCTTTTTCTGGCAACAAAACAGGTGTTAAGATGTTAAAACACCAAACTGAAACCTTTTTACAAGGAATCATGTCTGCATTAACCACAATACTTGTGGTCAGAATGCAAACAAAAACACTCTGATAATATATACATTGTCTTTGAAACTGATTGGTCCACACCAGAGACAGCTTTCTTTTGAGCCTAGTCTCAAAACGGTGTTAGACCAGAGGACGCCAAAAGGCGTACAGCCCAAAGACAATGCACTATCAGAGTAATGAGAGCTCGGGGTGAGCATCTACATCATGGGACCTCCTTTGCCAGGACCAAAATATGAGAATAGGTTTTCCACTTTTTTCTGGCAACAAAACATACGATACATATTTGCTAAAAAACATAATCAATTGGCACGTTTGCCCTCCTGACAAATTGATTTGTTTGGCGTGTAAGGTGTTTGAGGGTGATAGCTCGAATTGCCTTCATACTTACACCCATAAAAAAACAATTATGAATCACAACTAGCCATGGCCACTTTAGCAGCAGCGACGCTTACAGAACTAGGTAATTTCTAGTCACATGTTTATTAGAATCACTGGATTTTGATGGAAACTGTACAAAAGAATAACTTAGCTGTCAATTACCATTTGTTTTATGCAGTAAAGACCCCTACTGGTTATATGAGAATTGCGCCCAATACTGCTAATTAATGGTTACATTTCATGTGGCAAGGTGATAAGTCTGATGGCAGCATATTGAATATTGAATACATGCTTTTTATATTTAAAATAACATTTCCTGGGTCTTCCTTTAAAAAGGGATGATAAATGTTTCAGCACGCACAAGAACTTGCGTTCGTTCACACTCACGCGCTTAACTTACTTGGTGTTATTCAGTCCAAAGTCAGTTCCTGGGCTAAGAATTACCAATAAAAGTATATTAGTGAACCTTCCAAAACTAGTTTAGTACCAATACAACCTATGTGCGACTTTGACCCTGCCTTAAAATCTGTCAAGGCAGTCAAAGCGTAAAAGGTTGAGGTGATTTGTGCCGAGGCTTGTTGACGAAATGTTGTATAGCAGTTGTTTTTTATTTAGATGTTCTATATGAGGATGTTTATAAAATAGACGACAGTATGTTTTATTAATATAAAAACCACGTATATACATCTAAAAAGCGAGAATCATTGTTGCTGCTTTGATTTTGTATACAGTGCAATTAATAATCAAAACGGGTTTTTTTGCTGCTTATGAAAATAATATCAAGGCCAGTCTGATAAAAAAAAAACATCGACCCTTAATTTTGTTGTAGAAAAAAATGTATTTACTTATTTAACATGCACACCGATTGGAATGCTATTGACAAGAATTGATGTATCCTACAATGCTTACATTCTAATGAAATTAGATTACTATCATTTCTTGAAACTATTATTAGATATGTGAGACCAGGTTAGTCATATTAAGCAATCTTTAACCAAAATTACGAATACTCTCTTATTTGGAAGAACTTACTCCATTTCGAATTTCAGCCCAAACATGCTGCCACAGTAATTGAGACACACCTATAAGGACCACCCACTGCATGATTTAAAGGTATTTTGCCCAGTGTGTAAATATTAACACTTGCTAAATGCAACACTGTGGATACAATAACCAATAATGAAGCAATGCAAGACCACACATTACTTGGGAGTTAGTAGTTGCAAT